TTAAATTATTCAGTTAAATATAAATTAAACATTAATATATAAATTAATACACTTTCTCAAAAAGTATTTTCAGATGAGTAGCAAGATTAAGAAAGTATCACTTAAGGTAAATAGCTTACTTTATTTTCAGCAAAAGAAAGAAAAAAATTAGAAAATAATTTTTAAAAATTTTTTGTAAATTTAAACAAAATGAAACTTTATAAAGTTTTGAAATTGCAAGAAATGTAAAACCTTTTCCTATCAAGCTTAACGAAATACTGAATAATTTATCTATGTTTCGCAGAGAAATGATTAAATTAGGGATTTCATCAAATCCCTAAGGAAGATGATCAATTCATGCAAGATGTTGAAATAAGAACTCTGTAAGGTGATTTCCCGAAGGAAAGGAAGTGATTTGATCAAATTCCTAACCAGTTTCAGTGAAATGATGAAATAATATTGTCAGGAGTTTAAAAGTGTTCATTTAGCAAATATGGTGCATTATTACAATGCTAATTACAAACTATTTATTCAAAATGAATTAAAATAATTCGATAATAAAGCTGGTATTTTTTTTTTAAAGGATATTTGTATCAGAATTTCAGACATTTTTTAAAAATAGTATACAGTAATGTAGTACTTCAGAAATATCCTGCTTTATTTGTAACACTTTTTTTCAGTTATTATTTCCTTTTTAAAATAGTTTTTTTACTATCAAAAAGCCTTTTTTATCTATAAAGAGGGCATGGTTGAATTCCCTTATTTGTTTGGTTACACTTTTCAATTTAAGTATTATCCAGTTTCCAATTTTCAGGCATACAAAAGTGATATATCAATTGAAAGATAATAATGCAAAGAATATAACTAAATAAAACTAAGAAATGATACTAAGGTCATTTTGTTTTGGTACTTCATGTCAGAAGCCCGGCGCTTCCTGACACATACGAGAAGACGGGAAGGTAAAAGGGAGTGGTAACAAGCGAAAACAGAGCTCTACAAATGATGACTTCTTCACTTCATCATTCCACCAAAACAGTTCGGGGATTTGATAAAATCACTTACTTATATCGGGGCAATGACCTCAAAAAGACGTTATTTTAATATCTTGCGCGAACTGATCATTTCCCTTAGGGATTTGATAATATCCCTAATTTCATCATTTTCCTGCGACATATGCATAAAAATGTTTTTTTTAATAAGCCTGTAAAAAAAAGAAATGACTTCTTATAACTGTGTAAATATATTTCTAATCTACTTTTTAAAAAATTGTGTAATTATGTTAAGTTATTCTCGTTTCAATAATTTTCGCTTAAGACTATTTGATAATCGTAAGATATTTTGTGTTCCCGATTTTCTCAAATTCAGAAAAAAATAATTTTGTTTCTTGTTGATATTTTGGTATAGTGAACAAGAAGGATTATAGATATGTATCTATTATCTATATACGCAGTGTTCCAAAAATGACCAACGATTTGAAAAATAAATTAAAGTAAAATGGAAGGCGATAGAAACGTACGTTTTGCTGCTTTCTGCTTTATTATCAACTGAATTTATTTTCACCAAGTTCCAAAAGTAATTACAAAGTTTGTCAAAAGATACTGCTTCTGAGTGGTACAACTATAACGCAATACTTTCATTAATTACCATTTGCAGCAATAACGTGGCATAATCTCAGGACAAAACTTTCAAACACTCATGTAAACATATTAGTTAGAATGGTTTGAAGTGCAGTGTTTAGATTCAGATATGCTTTGTGGATTGTTTCGATGCATCTGGTCTTTCTCATACTCCCAAGGGAAAAAAATCACATGACATTAAATCTGGTGAAAAGGGAGGCCATTCCATGATGCCTCTTTGATGTCCATTTAGTAATCAAGGGCAATGGCACGATCATCGAATATGAAGTGGCTTTTGGATGTGAACTACTGAATGAGTATAATACTGTTTGCTGGTCCGTTTCTGCCATTGAATGTTCCCTGGACTTCGTGTTTTTTCTTTTTTTTTTTGTAAGAAAAGTACAGTTTAGGTGATGAAACTCTAAAGCAAGGGTGTCAAACCCTTAAGCTAACTTAGGTCAAACAAACAAGGTTTAATTTTGGATGGGACGAAAAAAAATCTATATTCATACAAACGTAGGTTTATTTCAAATAATACATTATAAAAAACAAATATAAAAGAACAAGAAAAAGTTAATGTTAACGTCCTTAAACTTGACATCTCTTCTCTGCTACTATCTTTCCGATTTCAGGAGAAATTTTGTAATTTTATTACATATTATTGTGTGCCGATATACTGACTTGGCGCAAAAATGTACCTTGTGGGCCGCATGGCGGCCTGCTGGCACCCAGTTTGACACCCCTGCTCCAAAGGAAGAAATAATTCCTGTGCTAACGTGTAAACCATGTTTTCAGAAACCACATCAGAATTTTTAGGATTTATAAAATACCAATGTGACAGTACGGACATAATACATTGTTTTATAGTTTTAATAAGTAGAAGCGCCCCCCCGTTGACAAAATTTGTAAATATTTTGTCATTCGGGGAGGATAAATTATTTTCTTATCAAACCAGAAAGAGGAAACCGTGCATTTCTATCGCCCATTTTTTAAAAATATATTTTCTAAGTAGTTAGCGATATTTGGGACACCCAGTAAAAAACACAAATCCTTGGTAGCTAACATGATTTGCTTTTCCAGTAAGCCTGGTATTTTTTTTAGAAACCATAATTGAAATATTTTTTTAAAAAAAGTGTGTGTGTACTTATGTACGCACGTAAGAAGTTATACTTCTTTAGCGTAACAAGATTAAAATCTTTTTAAAAATCTTTAGAAGGGCAAGCTGGGCCAAGGACGAAAAGGCAGTCACGAGCAGAGTTGAACGATACTAACCTTCAGTCAATCGGACCGGCCAATTCTGAGATAATCACGATTTTAATAAATTTTAACACCCCGCACAGAGACAATAGTTCCAATAACATGGGGGTTATCAGACTGTATCTGGAGATAAAGTGAACCAAATGTGACACCTGAGACATCATATTGAATGTCTCGGTGGGAAGAACCGTTCCTGAGAAAATTAAGACATCCGCCTGAAGAGCCCTGAATTATGGTCATTTTAAAATAATTAAAACATTTAAAACAATTAAATAAAATAGAAGCAGGGCACCCAGCAACTCGAACCTGGGACTGGTTGTGAGCAAACACAAAGTAATTCATTAGAACCGGTCCGGAGTCTGTAGTTGCAAATGGGGTGGCACTAGCTATGGAAAGGAAAACGAAACTAACTCCCCCCGGGGGGGAATAACTGTAACGTAAATGGTCATATTCATCCCAATGATACACAGAGTAGTAGGTGATCCCAAAGTTTCATCCTTCTATCTCTGTAACATCGGTAAGTCATCAAAAGATCGAACCCATAGAAAAAACATAGGGATTCTAATTTTAGTGATAACGTCCCCCGTAAGCCCACTATCTATACACGAATTATAACAGATGAAACAGTTCAACGAGGAGAACCTATGGTCTGAGTTTCATTAATGATTCTTAAAAATCCTCGGAGCTATGCGGGATTTAAAAAAATATAACTAAAATAATTTTAAAATGTTAAATATGGGTAAAGAAATGGGGCTATGGTCCAGAAAAAATATATCTATGATGCTCATAGGAAGAACAATCGAATCCAGCCGGTGCGGAAGACCAAGGTGGAAAAGGATTTGAGTTATTTCTGGGAAGCCCTGTAGGGGGGACGGGCCAATTCCACGTAAAGCTCGCTCTAATACGAAAATATGGTGGACCTCCAAAAATCAAGTTCCAAGCTCAATTCCTTAGGGGGGTGGAATTTTGTCCAGTCTCCATAGGATTAACATGGGAGCATGATATTATAGTGCTTAAGCCCTCCCTATGCCTACACAATGGTAATGATAGAGAGGACTGGATGGGTCTCGACGAGTAGAACACTTGGTTCAAATTCAAGTCCGAGACTCGAACAAGAGCCATTATATTGTGAATTTAAGCAAATTTAAAAAGTTTAAGACAAAGACTATGGAAGAAATAGCCCTATGAGCATGATATTATAATAACTGGAAGAGCAGATAGAGAGGGATCAAGTGAGCCAGATCCGAATGGACTGTGAGGCTCAGGTGCCGAGATATTGTCCAAAAAGCTGTAGAAGGGGGAGAATGCGTCCCAACAGATATGGCTTATAACAATAGTTATTATGATCCCCCAAATATCAGACGGTCACGGTAGCCGAGTGGCATAGGTATCGGATCGTGGCTTGCCTTGTCACGAGTTCGAGCAGAGTACCACTAAAGACCAGCCGTGTAGGGTAGCGATGCACGTTAAATCTGTCGAGAGCTGAAAAGTCCTCCCGTTGGTGTGGTGTGGTAGTTAGGAGAGGGGGTGCCAGCTCAGGTGTCGTCCACGTCACTTGACCATGGTTCAAAATTACGTCGTCCGTCGCCAAAAGTCCTCGTGCAACTGAACAGTGCGACGTTAATATTCAACCAATCAATCAATCAACTCCCAAATATCAGTCCCATAGCACCAAAAAAGTGACATGTTAAAACATTAGACAACGGTGTGTGCGAGCGCATCGGTGTCGTAAAGTATACACGAGCATCGTAAAAATTTACCCTCATCCTTTTTCCCTAACACCCAAAAAGTGTAACTTCAAAAATAAATATACGAATACAAAAGGCTCTTATAATTTGCTACAGTGTAATAAATGTGTTTATGTTCATCGCAATGCTTCGTAGTAAATAAAAAATCTTATAATCATATACTTGAATTTTTTTTTAATAGGTAAACTAATTTTTTAAAAAATTTTTATGTAAAAGGAAAAAAACCCCAAAAAGATTAATTTTTTAAATTTATTTTTTTTAATTTTCCCATGTAAGTATGTTAGGTTTAATAAAAAAAAGTGTTAAAAACAAATGCATCAGAGGAGCCCGTAAAGGACGATTTTTTCCCTACTAGTATTTGGGTCACCAAATCAGCGAAAAAGCAAAGGTTCGCAGACATGGGGGTATAGCTCAGTGGTAGACCCTTCCCGACTGCAGATCGGGGGTTTCCCCCGGCTAAAACCCGGGTGTCCTCTTCTTCAGGTGGAAGAGAAATTTTTTTTGAGGATTTTTGAAGGGGCAATGATTTATCCCGTTCGATATTTCTGGACAATGCATATTCGTATCCGTTTTCCCAGGGGAAAGCAAAGGGGCTGTTTTTCCGGACGCGAGAGAATAGCTCAGTGGGGAAGGCAATTTGGGGCAGATCGAGAGGTTTTCCCGGTTTAAAAACCCGGGGGTCCCCCTTCTTTCGGGAAATAAAGAAAAATATTTCCTCGAGAATTTATAAGGCGGGAAAAGATCTGTCCCGTTTGTTTATTTTAGACAAAACTTTTCCCATCCGGACGGGTTTTACATCCGTGATGGTATAAAAACATCGTAAAATTTACCATCCCATTTCTTTAAAGCCCCAAAAAAAAATAAAAACCAAAAAAAAAACGCGTAGAGGAAAAAACCCTTTTTAAAATTCCCTAAAAAAAGTAAATATTGAAAGGTTTTTTTAAAAAGAATAAATCGGATGATGAATAATCCCCAACAAACAATGTCAACCTACCTCACCTTAGAAATTTAATAATTTTGCGACTGTCGACTTTTTCGATTCCTCTTGAAACAAAATGCATTAATTATAATAAATAAATAAACTGAAAATTAACAGTAGAATAAACCTTTGTAAAATTTTGAACAATAGCGTCTTCTAAGACAATGAAAAAGCATTTATTATTGCATCAATTGTTATGAAGTTTCTCACTTGAATAGATAATAGAAGGAATAGAAAAATACGAAAATGAATAAATATTCACTGTAATATATTTCTTAATGATGTGTTATGCATTCTGCATAGACATCATTATTAATTTAAAGTTCAATTTTAACACACACACAAAACATGTTCTGGTATTAAATAAAATACTTCAATTATTTTAAAAAATACTTTTCGGTAAATTACGCGGTTTTTTATATTTGAATAATAAATACTACATTTTCTCGCTTGTAACGTCATTAATTAACGTCAGAAGTCGGAATCATCATAGCCAATGAACATTCTTTTTTATATTAAAGGAAGCTCAAACCCCATTTCCCAAATGATTCATTTTTTTTAAATTTTTTTAAAAGAAAATTTTATAATGTAAGATTATCTGATTAACTCAGCATGTACTTACTCGCAGCAATTCTTACTTACTCGATATTCATTGAAAGTTTCTAAAGTTTGTTCCCAAACACTTATTCCTTTCTCTCACATTGAGAAAGTTACAGTAAAAAATATCAAATTTTATGTGTTTAATTCTAGTCACGTTCTTGAGTCAAGACGTTTTAATTGCGAATCTTCTTGCCCTTCTGGTTTAAGTAAGTGGTAGAGACATTTCCAACGCGTGCTAGTAATGTAAAATAATATTGAGCTCTTGAAAGCCAAACATTTTACACAGTATTCATTTACAAGATGATTATTTTTATTGTGATTAAAATAAGATTTTTTAAAAAAAAATTATTTTAAAAATGCATTTTTTAGATATTTAAATCAAAGTGTTATGTTAAAAATAGCTGATGTTTTTCTTACATAAAATTCGAATGAAATGTATTAGAACAATACAAAACACCAAACGTATAATATTAGATGATAAAATATCTGAGATAATTCAAAGGTTTTTTTTTTTTAATTTTTAAGATTAAAAACAATTTATTGGAGGTATCCTCAAATATTTTTCGAAAACGTTATGCACTAAATTTAATAATAAATAATTCTCACAATTGAAAAACATCTCTCTCTCTAGTCATAGCTTAAATTACCGAAATTTTATAGGTTTAAATGTAAATTTAATAATTTAAACTAATAAAATTTACGAATGAAGTCTAAATGCACTGTGTCGAATGAAGACCTAGAGTATTATACTGCAAAATTTGTTGGCTCATGTGAGGATCTTCTTCTGAGGCATTAAATACGCTTTGAAGGCCAGCCACTTCACATAATCCACAAATCATTGGCCCGTTGTAGAATCACTAATATGAATTAATTGTAATCTGTTATTGTATTAAAAGGTGCCAAAGAAAATGGTGTTGCTTATTGTAGCCTGTCACAGCTGTACCAAGTGACTCCGTTGGTTGGTTGGTCATATTTATTACTTTGTCTTCGGATTGGTATGCGTAGATCGAAACAAAAGAAATGATATATCAGGGTTGATTTGATTTAAGTTTTTATCATCGTCACACACTAAGGAAACACGAGGGCCATTGGCGACGGACCTCTTAGATTTGAGCCTCTGACTAGTGACGAAAATGCCGCGCCTGAGTTAGCAGATTCTCTCCAAATACCTACATCATATCAGTGTGAGACACAACAGATTTAAAAAACCCCAAGCTACACAGAGATTTTTATTGACTCAAACACATGACTACCCTACCGCAATGTCATTGCCAAACAATTTACCAGGGTGACATTGTGTACGTAGTGCTCGTAGATCTAACCCAGAGATTCTCAAGCTGTGTGGGGTGCGTAACCCTGAAGGAGCGGGAAAACCCTACGTGGTGGCGCGAGCATATCAAAAATCAAAAAAAATATTTTAGACAAGCATTTATTTATTGAATAGAAGCAAAGCAAAATACATTCTGACTTAATAAAAATATACATTGGATATTTATTGCATTCTGTTTCAATTTAAAAATTAGAAAGGAAAAATAAAATAATGCTTTTTCAGCTACTTAAAATATATGTTACTTAAAAGTAATATATATAAAACTCAACACTCTCTTATCTTGATAATTTGCAGGTTTATAATTAAGGTCGTGTATGGTAGCTTTGGCGACAAAGTACATTATTACTGCATTCAATACATCGTTATTATATGGGGGAGGGCGTGATGAAAATTATTATTTAAAATTGGGTCACAAATGTCGAGTTTGAGAAGCACTGGTCTAATCCGATGCTATTGTAAACGAAAGCTTTGATGCAGTTGTCACTGTAATAGGATCATTTTAACTGGGGACATTGATATCTGCAATCGGCTGACATTAGTTGTGTTTAAGATGAGATTTGAAAAGTCTATTAAATGGGAGCAATAGGTCAATGGAAGTTAATTCCTAAGATTTCAATATTTTCTGGGGGATTCACATTAATCCATGTATGCTGACATACTTTTTGCCGTACTAGTTCCCCTCAAAAGGGGAGCCATGAGCTTCTTTCAGCCTTCTTAGTTACGGCCGAGGCAGCATGGCTGTTTTTGTGACACGATAAATGGACTAACTTAGCCTGTCTTTCTGAATGGAATATCTTAACCCCTCTATATATATAATCATGTCTTTTTTACTTGAACTACGTTTCTGGCGAAATCCTTCAACTCGTATATCTTTTAACTTAAAACAACTTTATAAATTGGCTTAGCTCCGTGAAGGGCAGCGCGATTATTGAGCAATCTTCCAGTTTCTTGCCTTACATCTTACTGAGTTGGACATAGATGCTCATTCTTGGTCATTTACAAAACTCAATAAGCTATGGCTAACTTTCTATTGGAATTTTCTTTTGACCACTTTCTTTATGGTATTTCATTTTCGATGTGTAGTTTATTCTATTATGTAGAAAGACAATGTCTTAAGTACATACCATTTATTTAAAAAAGCGGTAAGTTATAATATACAGTGTACCTGAGGAAATTGGTTCCCACTCTAATAATTTATGTACAAGAGTTATAGACATAAAAATGGGGTCTAGGTATGGTAAAGTTGCTATGCGCTATACGAAAAAACCCCTTAAAGAGCCACCTGAAGGATAAATTTGGAGTTAGAGTTCTTATCTCAAACGAGTACTTGATATATGGAAAAAGTCAATTAAAAAGTTGATTAGCGTCATTGATTTAATAAAAGAAGAAAACTTACGTGAAGTAATATTAAAAATAGAAAACGGGAATTGCACTTTTAATTGGTTCGTTACTTGCAAAATTGGAACGCTATATAAAGTGGAGGAAAGGGGGAAATTTTTCGCCCTCGTGATGACATTATTGGTGCAACTTCCTCATTAAGTGCTTGCATGTCCTGCTAAAATATCTTGCCGAAATCATATGGACGGATGAGGCAAGCGGGCCTTGCGCTTAATACTATGCACAGTAAGCAGAACTTCCACTTCTGGTCGCTGAACAATCCTAGATGTCCTGACGAAGTTCGAAATCAAATTAACTATTCCATACACGTTTGTTGCGGAATATTCAGAAACAAACTGATTGGCTCTAAATTTTATGAGAGCACGTTATCGTGAACCTGATACTTTTCATTATTGAAGTACATACTATACGAATTTTTAGATGATTTGCCCTTGGGAGATCTCCGGAATGCGTGGTTCCAATACAATGGTGCCCCCTCATATAAGATAACACGTGCCACACAGAACAATCGAGACACATTCTAGCAACTAGTCAAAAGGTATGTTAGTTGCGTTTAATGGCCTGAATGGTCACCTTATTTGAAGTTATTGGACTTTTCTCAGTGAGGATACATTAGATAAAGAGTGTAGCAACCCTCCATCACTGCAGGAACTTCAAAATCGTATTGCGGATGCTTGTGTCAGCGTGTTACGTGTCATGTTGAAGAAAGTGCAGCGGGAAATGGAAACCCATGACCAGATGTGTAAGGTTGTTGAAGGACACAATTTTGAGCGTGACAGAGAGATGAGTCTCACTTGCGGAGAGTGTAGGTTTTTCAAACCCGATCAGACACATATGTGCTTTATGCTTTTCATTTGTATCATTTTTGTGAGCAATATGTTTTGTTGTCATAAATCGAAAATGCCTAAAAACATTGTAATTGAGTTTTTCATGTATCTTGGTCTTTTTTGAGATAAGAAAGCTAACTTCAAATTTATCCACCAAGTCAAGCTGTTTCTTTGTGTAGCGCATGTCAACTTTACTATACTTAGACGACCTTTTTATGATTGTAGCTATTATCTTTCATAGGCCATTGGTGTTACAAAGGACTTTAGTGGGTATATTGTGTGTGTGTATATGCTTATAATAATAAATTTACTTTGAACAATTTAATATTTTGGACAAAAATC